CTCTCTCTCTCTCTCTCATCTTACGAATGCACCTGACCGTAGACTCGGCCAGACTCATTCGTTAAAAAAAAGGAAAAACTAAATCATGAAAACGAGGATCACTGGTATAGCGAAGCATGACTGTGACGAACGAACTGAACCACAATGAATGCAGCCCCACCCACTCGAGATTAGAGATGACGACCATTGGGACAACCGACCATCTGATTGAAGGCCACGATCACTACCATAAATACAATCAGATTCAAAATGACGACCTTAACGATGAGCGCAATGATATTCCTCATGGCGACACCGACGACCATGATGGAAGTGGCAACAACGCAAACGAATTCGAGCACGATGAATAGTGCAACTCCTAGCCTCCTAGGAGGCATACAACCAAGATGATCGACGAAGACCACGATTGTGAATAACATCAACCTTGCTCCTCTGCTCACCAAATGTGCAAAATAAGAATGAATCTCCCGCCAGAACATGCAAAGATACATCACCATAATCCACAGGGCGCAGGTAAGTGTGATCGTCACCTGCTCTTCCTTCATCTACCTATTCCTTTCTCTTCAGCTTATCCCTGTTACAACCATATCCTCCTTGTTCCTCTTTTGATCCGTCCTCTCTCTCTGTCGTACCGCTCATCCTGTTAGTCTTGATCCTCCTTACTGCTGCCTTTGTCCCTGTCTTTCCCTTCTTCACACATTTTTTTTGTCTGTCCCCCTTGTTCTCATTTGGTTCTTCTTACCTCCTCTCCCTTTGCGTCTCTATTCAACTTCATCCCTCTGAAACTGAAAAGGTATGTACCTTCCACCAAAAAGCGGCCAGGTGCATGGACTTAGCCTACAGCTCGGCCGACCTCAACGACGAAGACATATTCGACGGTTCTGACGGTCACGATGATGAAGAAAGCTATGGATCGTGGCGACGAGCAGCTGCTCGACGAGAACAATCACGAACCCGAGCAGGATGAGCACAACTAATGATCCGACCATGGAGATGGCGGCCATGATGATGATCAGCCCTACGAATGAGCTTCGACGCAATAGACACGTACTCCTAGTTACCTCTCTCCTTCTTTTTCTCAGAGTCTCTCTCCCTGCACACTGATCTTTGCGGCTACCTCGATCTCGATGGAGATGGAACTAATGATTGTTGAGGCGCGGGGGGAATGATCACCGTGGAGACAAATTGAGCCACCACGAAGATCACCGAGCAGCAATGACCATCTCCAAGCACAATCGCCAGGATTGAGATGTCGAGCGGCTCGATCAAGATGTAGTCAACGGGCACCAACAATGCAGACACTCCAACGCTCACCAAATATGCAACATGAGAATGAATCTTCCGCTAGAGCATGGAATGATTCACCGTTGTTTTAATGCTGCTTCCTCCACACGCAGCCGTTACAGCTCATACCGACGAACCCATTGCCCCAAAACTACCATTTCGTCAAAATTGATATTTTTTATTTTTTGAACGAAATTGAAACTGAGTTTTTTTTTTTTGGCCGAAAACTGGTCTAAATTTTTCTGCTCCTATGTAAAACGCTGGACCCCCTGGATGTATCAGGACTGAGCTTGAGACCAGATACATCTAGGGAGGACCACCTGGATGTATCTGGTCTCAAGCTAGGTCTAGATACATACAACTGAGGGGGTCAAGCGTTTTAAAAACGCCGGACCCTTAAGAGAGGCAAATTTAGAATGAGTTTTCGGCCAAAAAAGTTAAAAAAACTCAGTTTCAAGTTCGTTAAAAAAAACAAAATTGTCCATTTTGACGAAATGGCAGTTCCAATAAAAGAATTGGTGAGGCCATCTTGTCCGGAGCGCTCTGAAACCTTCGATCACTCGCTCGTTTTCGTTAAGAAATGGCTGAGTTGCACTTTTTTTTCTTCTCGTTCTTCTTCCACTTCGACTTTCCCGCGCACCCCCCTTTTCTTCTAAGTTCCTCTCCCACTACCCTATCATCTAAACTAACGCAACCATTGCACTCGCCCTAGCAAAAAAACATATCCGCTATCTTTTTTGCTCCGTTTTTTTATCAAGAAACGAACGAGGACCACATTCTTCAACCCGACCACCTCCTCCTTCGTCAGTTTCGTTTCTTCTTCCCATTTTGTTGTTGACGTTAACCCCATCTGCCTTTCTCAACGCTAGTCACCTCATGGTCCGACAACACTCGACACAAGAAAGGAAAGACTCGGCTCCCAGACCTTACTTAATTTATGTGTGTCGTCCTTGCGCAGATGCGATGCTAATCTTTCTTGCATCGTTCCAATTTTAACGAATATCACGAAGGACCATGGCAGTGTGGCGGCCCCGAGATATCATCATTGAACTGACCGGCCGCAGACAATTCAGAATGATTTTATTCTCTTCATTTGAAGGTATGTAGATTCGAACTTGAGTCTGTATTTCAACGGTTCAGGGGCGTACCAACCAAGCAAGGCCAGTTAGTTCCTCGCCGATCTCCGTACCGGAACTTAGTCCCGAACTCCCCCACCTTACAATGTCTTTCACTTGGATCAGACAGGTCACGAGGTCAACACCTTGGATCGAGAAGCAGGGGCAGAGCCCTCGCCCCACCTCATGAAATAAGTAAAATAACATTAAAAGTACCGGTATTTCACTTGGCCGTAAAGCTCCCACTCACCTATTTCTAGTGGAGTTTGAACTCAGATCTGTATTTCAACAGTTTCGGGGTGTACCAACTGAGCTAGTGCTATTGGTACTTGCACCGAGGTCTCCTCCCCGTCCGACTTCCCTCTCTCTCTCTCTCTCTCTCTCTCTCTCTCTCTCTCTCTCTCTCCTCCGCCAACTTCCCAAGTTCGCACCAGCGCGCGCGATGAACGGTCTCTCTTTCTCTCTCTCTCGCTCTCTCTCTGTCTCACGTGGAGCCGAGGCCTCCCCCCCCCGCCCGACTCCCCTCTCGCTCTCTCTTTCTCTATTTCTCTCTCTCTCTCTCTCTCTCTCTCTCTCTCTCTCTCTCTCTCTCTCTCTCTCTCTCTCTCTCTCTCTCTCTCTCTCTCTCTCTC